TGATGTTTTCTAATCCCATGCTTTGTAGATTTTAATCTGCATTTTAATAACTGGAAATCAGTATGCTTCTGAAAAATAATCCCTTGTAGTATGTAGCTCTTCTTCAAATGGCACCCCATGATGAAACTCATTATTGTAAATACCTATTTCCAGTTTAGGCAACTTATTTGTGAATGTTAGAAGCAGATTTATTGTATTAATATGCAGGATTAAACTTTGATATTAGATTTCAACTGGAAAAGATGGGGAACAGATACTGCATGTACATTACAAAGGATAATGCAATGAAAAGAATGGGTGCATCATTTAGTCCTATTTTCATTTAGTTCAGTTTATTAGACACCTCTACTTATTGCTATTCTAATCCACACATTTTCTTATTTACAATGGAAGACATTAAAAGAAAGCTATTTAAAATGTAATCTGTGTAAGTTATTTTTAAAATGTATGAATATCCTATATAGAAAATATAGAAAAGACATTACAATTATAAACAATTTATTTAGCAAATATAAGTGTACCCAGTTTAGAAACTAGGAACGCAAGTTGCAAATACCTTGGGGATATTTTGTCATATAGATATATGTGTGTGTGTGTGTGTGTGTGTGTGTGTGTGTGTGTGTGTGTATACATACATATGCAAAATAAATTGTGTTTGATTTAAAGTAACATTAATTAAAATTCAATGCATAATGATTATTACTCTACTTTTGAAAAATGAAAATAATAATAATTGAAAAACTGGGTAATGCCATTCGAACAATTTGAAAAATGGCTTTTAAATACTGAGCTGTCTTCAAGACCTCTCATTTTCATTAAAATGATCAAAGCAAGGTTATACCATCATGCTTCAAGTTTCAGCTCCTTTGCACTTGTGCCTGGCATCATGACACACGTATGCAATCATTTCACTATTAATAACATTCTCTGAATATAGGAAAGGTTCATGACAATGTAACTTTATAGAAAGCTTTCTATAAGTGCCTTTTCTGTGCATAGATTGTTTTATAAAGGAGAGGATTGAAACAATAATACACTTCCTTTCTCGTGTGTTATAATCCAGCAAGCCTTTAATTCTTGAATATCTATGGGTTTATTGTGTAAACCAGATTTGAAATGTATTAATTTTAGATGACTAAGAGTGGGTGCAAGATATGAAGCTCTCAAGCAGCATGTTTTTTTCTCTGAGTTATCAGTTGCTGATAACTGATCCAGAAATTTGTAGAAACAACAAAATCTTGAGATATCTTGTGACAAAGATCCTGGGACATTTATTGTACCATTTGATTTTGAGATAGTAAACCCTTTTAATGGATGCTTGAAACTTTATGCTTTGGTGCAGATACATAAAGACATGCATGTTTACAGTAGACTGTACATAATGAGACTAGAAAGAAAAGAAATATATAAAAATAGACTATGACAATTATATTAAAATATTGTGATAGTTACACTGAAGTATTAAGTATTTACTGACTCATTCAATAAACAATATTGATGATGAAGCAGATATTTTTAATGAACAAATTAATACTTCTTACCAAATTATAGGCTAGAGCAGGGGTGTCAAACTCGATTTCATTGAGGGCCACATTAGGGTTGTGTTTGACCTCGGGGGGGATGGGGTGGGCGTGGCTAGTGTGGGCGTGGCCAGCTTGACTCACTCATTTTGGGGGTGCCTGTGTTGGGCCGAGCACTCTGCCAGCGAAAATGAACTCCCAAGCTCCATTTTTGCTGGCAGAAGCACTGTGGGCTGGTCCTTCACTGTTTACAGGGCAGCCTTGCGGGCCAGATCTAAGCACCCTGTGGGCCGGATCCAGCCCCCAGGCCTTGAGTTTGACACCCCTGGGCTAGAGCAATGATTTGCAAAGTATGGTCTGGGCTCCTTTAGTGGTCCCCAAGACACCTTTCAGGGGTTCCATGAAATCAAATAAATATGTAAGCTATAGTCACTATGGTTTGGTTTGGTTTGGTTTGGTTTGGTTTGGTTTCGGTTGGATTTGGTTTCGTTTCGTTTCGTTTCTCAGATCATACTAAGGATCGTATTAAATGACTGCCATATGCCTTACATTCCCAAAGTAGCACGTATAGATTTGGCTTTCATTCTCATGTTTTTACTGCATGGCACCTAACAGAATTCAGTCATGAATTTATATCAAAATGCTTTTCTGCCAGTAATATATATCATGCTGTGAGGCGAGCATGTCAATAAACAAGGACAAAATTACAAGAAAGATCTTGTCATCGATCATTCAGGATAACATCGAAGTAACACATGGTAACAAAGAGATTTCACAATTGGCTAGCTTTCCTACAAAACCTCAGATAAGATTTGAGCATAAGATTATTTCTCACTTGCCTGATTCTAGTCCTGGAAAGAACTGGACCAGATTTATACAACTGTTATATCTCCTCAATATGTAAAATAGCAAATTGCTGGAACATGAGGTCTATTGCAACACATCTTCCTTAGGCTTCAGCCTTCAAGTAAATTTTGACTCCTTGACAGCTGCCTGGACAAGTCCCTGCAGTTTTCTTAGCAAGTTTCCGGAAGTGGTTTGCCCTTGCCTGCTTCTTAGAGTTGAGAGACAGGGACTGGTCCAAGGTCACCAAGCTGGTTTGGTGCCCAAGGCAGGATTAGAACTCATGATCTCCTGGTTTCTAGCCTGATACTTAGCCACTACACCAAGCTGGTTCTTGACCCTCTAACATTCTTTCTCTCTCCCCCCAACTGATTCGACAATAAGATTTTGTTTTCTTTAAAAACAATTGTGTCGTTTGTGCGCAAACATTGCACAGCTGTTACCTAAGCACGAAGCAGAGCAGATATTAGGAAGAAGCTATGTACAGTAACGCTCATTTCTCATTCAATTAAATTAGCAAAATTTAGATCTCACTTAAATCAGAAAGACATGTTGATAGGTGACTTAAGTTTCATTGTTTTTAAATATGGATTTAAGGGATGTCTTTCTCCAGTCAAAACTTTGAAGGTGGAGATTCCAGTGAAATAAGCATGGTGTATTTCCAAATGTTTCTCTTGTTTTTGGCAACTGTTCATTGATAGAGCCTATGTCAGTGATGGGTTGCCCCCGGTTCGGACCGGTTTGCAAGAACCAGTAGTAAAACCGGCAGGAGGCTCCGCCCACCGTCCCAGATGTCATCATCAGCAATCTGAGCATGTGCAGAAGCTTCTGTGCATGTGCAGAAGCAAGGCGTGCGTGCGAGCGATCCCGTTGCGAACCAGTAGTAAAGGTAAGTAGAACCCACCCCTGGCCTATATCTTCTATCTTCTATATTATATTTAAAAAGATGCCTAGAGTTTTAATATCATGCATAAAATAGGTAGCTGTAGACTGTTATTGGGAGCTAAAACCACTAGATGGGAGTAAAAGAACTCTCGTTTTTCAAACATCCTCCAGATTCAGAATTATTCTTTAGTCCAGTTTCTGATTCCCTTTTCTTAATAAACAGCATATCCATAGCATAGCATATTATGATTAAATGGCAATTGTTAAACTCAATAGATCCTAGAGGCACTGTTTATGTAACTGTCAAAAAATAGTGACCATTCAGTTTTGTTAAGCATCTCTTTCAATTGTGTTTAGCATCTCTTTTGTCATGAATTTGTTATAACTTGAGTTTACCAGTTATATGATCGTAGATTTCTACTGAGTTAAAAATATGATGATGGACAAATAAAAATACATTTGCTGCATAGTAAAAGAAGAACTATTCTGGTCTGTTTCACTTTTGATAATTCAAATGGTAGAGCTAGAGTAAAAGGAAGGCAATTTCCCAACTTTTTCCAAGGTAGGAAAATAAATCTGCCTGGAGCATTTTGGATGTACCTTGAAGAATTGCAATGCCTATTTCTCTCTCTGCTATTTTCTCAGATGAATCTTTATGCTCCAAGATTAAATTGAACATTGATTCCTGATGGGGATTAATAATACAAATTGAACCTCAATTTCTCCTAAACTATGGCACATATCCAGTTGTGAGGCAGAATCATTTGTGCCATATCTTGGTTAAATTTCTGAAATATAATGAGAATGCAGAATATGGATATGCTGAGACTAAAACATATGAAGTGGGAATTCCACATTTCATAATTAAATACCACATTTATTTACAAGCTATAAAAATATATTTTTCCATTCCAAATTAGGTTGACACAATATTGAAGGAAAGTCTTGCTATGAAAGAGAAGTGACACATGTATCTAAAGCTGCTATTATGCTTGTGGTCTGGATTATTTGTATTTTGAAATAAATTCTAAATTAGTCTAATGGCATCTCGTGAAACTGCACAGCATAAACTTGATGTTTTATAGCCAAGTCCATCATTACTTCTTGGGATTTATGTGGGTATACCTCTCTTTGCTAATAAATAGCAGTTTTCAAACATTATTTGGTGAATAACTTCAAAAATTATTTGATATAAGAAATCTTGGTAGCATGGTCATTCCATTCCATTTACATCCAGTGGTGGGATTCAGCCAGTTCGCACCACTTCGGGAGAACCGGTTGTTAACTTTCTGAGTAGTTTGATGAACTGATTGTTGGAAGAAATCATTAGGACAGAGAACCAGTTGTTAAATTATTTGAATCCCACCTATTATTACATCCAACCTCAGAAAAACGTATAATGGCAATTTTATTAATTGTTTATTAAGCACATTTATGCGGCTGCTCACATCACAAAAACCAACTCCAAAACTGGAGGACTGGGAGCAAGAAGAGCTGTGTTTCAATTTGCCAGCTCACAGTTAACAGGAGTTTGAACTCATGAGTGGAAAGTGAGAATTTTATAGCCACCAGGAGGAGACCATGAGGCAAGGCTTTGTTCCCTTAAATCCTGTGCTTGGGATACTTTCCATAACTATTGTGTTGTACGCAAAAGGGCATAATAAGAGGAGGGGAATATTGAGCTACAGCATAAGATCTAAGGGGAAGTTGGGTTCATTCAGCAACAGGCATCTCCTTCTCTGCATGTCGAGGAGTATGAGAGCGACCAGAACACTCCACCCTGAGCTGCAGATCTTCTTTAGTTTACTGGTAGGCAATCTTCCTTCATGTTATTGGACCTTGTTATAATAGCTCATTCTTATTAGTAATAATCCTGACAATAACAATTTGGCAGGAATGTTTTATAGTAATACATCATTGAATCAGTTGAGGTAATACTTATTTATACAAAGAGAAACTTACAAACGTTATCTACATCGTAAACTCTTTCACAAAATTGTTATAAAAGAAGCATTTATGGAAGCTAAACAATAGTGCTAGTAATGGTAGTAAACAAGAATTGGATTTGCTCCCACACTCCCACAAATCCTCCTTGTGAATAAACAAGATCTAAAAATGCTTGAGACTTTTGGAACATTTCGAAAACGATTATATGGCAGTGATGGAGACAGTGAAACATACATAGGCAACAAACATACATTCAAAAGTGAAACAATAAGTAAGGAATATACACTTAATGTTTAGAAAACTAGTAAAGATAATGAATTATAACATGGTCTACAGGCATCATGATAGTAGAATCAACAGCAACTGTGAATACAGTAATCATAATTCATATGTCTGTTCAGTCTTTGATATTATTTGTTATAATATAAATACTATCCTTTTTTCATGCATCTTAATGTTTTTTTTTTCACCCCATGAAAGCAAAGAACTAATCTGAACTCTCCTCTCTTGTGTACAATGTTTCCACATCAGGAACAGACCAAATTATTGAAATTTAACTGCTCTTAACTTGCTATTAGATGTCTTTTACTTGACACTGATGTAAAATGGTGGTGATAAAACCCTAATGTCTAAAATGAACCATGGTATTTCCAGACATTTGCAATGACTTTACAGGCATATTGTTGTTGTTGTTTTTTAATATTTTTTATTGATTTTACAACAACAACACAACACAACACACAAAACATCAACACACCATATGTGTGTCTTTTTACATAGCAGTTTCGTTCCTCTTACTTTGTATTTTCTACATTCCTCATTTTTCTCATTCTTTATTGTCTTTATCTTTAGTCCCTTTATTTCTAGTTTTATTCATTTACAATATTTTACACATTTATCACATCATTTATTCCCTTTTACCTTCCCTAGTCTTTAGCCAATCATACCACTTATTCCATACTTGATAATATTCTGTATCTTCTTTTTCTTTTATTTCTTTCGTTAATTTATCCATCTCTGCACAGTCCAGAATTTTTCTAATTGTTTCTTCCTCTGTTGGCATTTTTTACTTTTCCAGGATTGTGTGTAGATTATCCTTGCCACTGTAATTATATGCAAAATCAAATATCTAATTTCTTTACTGTAGGTTCTATTCAATATCCCCAGTAAAAACGGCTCTGATTTCAAGTCCACATTATAGCCAATTATCTCTTCTATCCACCTTCTAGTTTTAGCCCAATATTTTTTTGCTTTAGGACATGTCCACCAGAGATGGTAATATGTTCCGGGGACTTTTTTACATTTCCAACAATTTGGAGAGTTGTTGGAAGACATTTTAGCAAGCCATACTGATGTAAAGTGCCATCTGTAGAACAGGCATATTGTTATTGAATGACAAGAATGAACAAAAGATTAGTTGAAAAACAGCAATCCAACTAAAAGGATTTATTTTTCATGTAAATAACTTGCCTTGGATGAAATGCTGTAATATTTGAGATTCTGTTTCATGAAAAGCTAAAAACCTTTTAAAGGAAGGGAGGGAGGGATGGAAGGAAGAATAACCTATAATTAGTTCATGTTTCACCTTCATCAAACTGAATTCATTAACTGACTGTTTTTCACACTTATGACCATTGCAGCATCCCAATGGTCATGTGATCAAAATTCAGACACTTAGCAATTGATTCAAATTTATGACAGTGGCAGCTGTGGTGAAATGTAAAATTTGTTACTATTGGTTCTGTGGGCGTGGCTTGGTGGAGGGGTGTAATGTGACTGGGCGGGCGTGGCCAACTTTTTTTTTTTACTTTTAAAAGTATTTTTTTCTACAACCTTAAGAGGTTGAAGAAAAAGATGCTTTTAAAAGCCTCTGACGATCAGGCAACTCAGCTGGGATCATCAGAGGCTTTTAAAGGCATTTTTTTTTCTAAAATGCTTTTAAAAGGCTCTGACGATCCCAGCTGAGCCGCACGATCATCAGAGGCTTTTTTTTTTTTTTTTACTTTTAAAAGCATTTTTTCCTCCGAAGAAGTTGTAGAAAAAATGCTTTTAAAAGTAAAAAAAAGCCTCTAATGATCACGCATCTCAGCTGGGCATGGGGGATGAGATGTCAAGGAGTCAAGCAGGTTCAAAATCAGATAAAATCAGATAAAATAAATAAATAAAATAGTAATTCTTGCTCCTCTGAAAGAAAATGTTTTACTGAAGAATGAAATCATACCATATCTAAGAACCTTTCGATGTTTCTTACGGCAGGCTCTTTTAGCAGAAGCGTGGCATGATTTGGATAACACGGATTATGACTGCTGGCCCTTGGAGAAACCGGATGAGTATAACATGCTGGATTGTGGAGGTACTGTTCTTGTTTTTATAGGATAAAGCAAAAAAAAAGAAAAAAGACTGCAAATACAATTAGGGAAACAGCTCAATTCTATCTTTTATGTGGCTGCAGATTGCAGGCATCAGCAAGAAAAACTAATTCTAGGTAAAATATATTTAGTGCAGTAAGTAACATCACACTAGAGAATTACATACTTTCTCGACACTCGGATATATTTAGCAAAACTGAAGAAACAAAGGGATCTATCTGAAACTTGTTCTGTGTACCATTAAAAAGAAGTAGGAGCCACCCATACTAGTAGCAGACACGTTCATTCCAAGAAATACCGCATTAGAAAAATGTCTGTTGCCTTGCAATCATTAGTCAAAATCAGAGCAACTTTACACTGTGTCCACCTTTCCTATAGATGTCTTACATCCATGCTTGTCTGCTACAAACACACTATGTAGGAATAATATACATTCCTTTCTCAATAACTGTATGTGGATGCATTTTGGCTTTGAGAGATTCCTTCTGAAGGGTTTTTGCTATTTCAAAGGACACATCTGACATTGAAATGTTATCATTTTTCTTTTAAGGAAAAAAATAAATTTACCGCTCCTCTCAACTAAATGAGATCATTGGAGAATGTGAAGCACACCTTTAGAACAATAGAAATATGGAGAATGCTTCTATTAGAGAGGGTTAAAGCATCCGTGTATATGAACAGATAGTCAGGAAAAGCTTGTGAGGTGCTATCCCAAGGTTTTGCAAAATATGTCTGCTTTTAAGCCTGGAGGAGGAGGGGTGCTTAGTTTCTGCTACTATATTTCGCAAAAGACTCCTTTCAAACGCCTATCCATCCACCTACCCCCACATCCATCCATCCGTCTACCCATCCCAATTTCACAATATCAAAACTACAAACCATGAGCAATCGTTCCTTCTCTTGAGGAAATTTAAAGGAATTCAGAAATATGTAACCATGGCGATTGTTAAGAATTATTTAGTGCATCACTCTTGATAGAGGGAAACACTAATGTAAGGAAAAGTGCATGAAGATCATAGAGAAGTCTTGCCCACAGAAGACAGACATTGTCATTCAGTCATTCCCAACTCTTTCTGAACTGATGGACATTATTTCACAAAACCGTCTGACTTAGTGAGTGCCTCTTTGAAGTGTAAACATGTATCAGTAGGTAACCCATCTTCTTTCAGCCTGTTTTCTCAAAACATTAGGATCTTCTCTAATAATTCTTCTTTTCCATGATATATCCAAAATATCTCAACTCTAAATTTATTAATATTATTTCTAGCATTCGTACCAGGATTGTACTAAATATGTACTAGATAAGAAAGAGTTATAACTTCAGTGATACTATTTTAATTCTGGTTCTACAGTAAGCAGCCATTCCTTCCTATTCTGCCTAGGATCGCTAAAGGATGCCAGGCAGAAAGGAATAATGGAGAATCTGGGATTAGCAAATTGATAATCCGTGTGATTATTATGGTTGGTCACACAGTCAGCCAGATGTTTAGAACGGATCTGGCATTTTTATCAACCTATTGAGGAGGAGCTCAGAGAGCAGATATTATTTAATGGTGTTAAAGACATGTCACAGGTAATTATTATTATTAGTTAGAGAAACAGTTTGGTGTAGTGGTTAAGGTACCATGCTAGAAACTGGGAGACTATGAGTTTTAGTTCTGCTTTAGGTATGATGTACTATATCAGATGTACATCAGCTGTTCCAAGTAAATCTGCCTTTTGCAATTGACTGATTTGATGCATTTGGTCTTAAGACTTAATCTCGTGCAGCCACAATTAGCTCCTCTGTCTGCTTCTTCAATTTTCCTAGTCTTAGAATTGTGATGGAAAAATAATGAACTAAAACTATACCAAGTGTGGCTTGGTGGGCATGGCAGGGGCAGAGGAAGGATACTGCAAAATCTCCATTCCCTCCCCACTCCAGGGGAAGGATGTTGCAAAATCCCCATTCCCTCCCCACTCCTGGGGAAAGGATATTGCAAAATCTCCATTCCCACCCCACTCTGGGACCAGCCAGAGATGGTATTTGCCGATTCTCCGAACTACTCAAAATTTCCGCTACTGGTTCTCCAGAACCTGTCAGAACCTGCTGAATTTCACCCCTGAATTTCCCCCTTATCTCACTTCCTCAAAAACTTTCCTGCAAATCAGATCTCCTGTATTTCCTGCTTCTCAACCCCTAAGTATAGAAGGATCTCTGCACTGCTATTGTTTGAGGTTCCTCCTTATTGGAAAACAGGCATTGTTGAATAAATTTTAGCAATTTCTCCTCAGTTTTGTGTCCCTTTCTTTGGCAAAATATCCACATCAAATAACTGAGATGCTCTCTGAGAACCATTAGCAATGTTTTTCATGAGGACTGTGGAAGAATATGGAGCCTTTTAGATACATGAAGGTCTAGCAAGACAGTTAAATGTTGCAAAGCCTGTTTTAACTGTAGACCTCTTGCAAAATGAGTTTCAGACAATTCAGATTGTTATCATTAAATCATGCCATTTATTGTTATTAGGGTTCATTGCACAGACAACCAGATATTTAGACTGAATTTGGAATTTTATCCATCTATCAAGTCCTTCCCAAGAACCTGGAATAGGCAGATGTTTTTGTTTGATGGTGTTAAAGGTATCATAATAGATTAGATTACTATTATTATCACGATTCATCACACAGTCAGCCAGATGTTCAGAGTAGATTTGGCATTTTTATCCACCTATCAAGTCCTTCCCTCAGATTATTATTAATTAGAGAGACAGTTTGGTGTAGTGGTGTCAGGCTAGAAACTGAGATACTATGAGTTCTAGTCCTACCTTAGGCACGAAGCCATCTGGGTAACCTTGGGCCAGTTACTCCCTCTCAGGCCTAGGAAATAGGCAACAGCAAACGTCTTCTGAGATCTTGCCAAGAAAACTGCAGGGTCTAGCCAAGCAGTCCCCAGGAGTCAAGACTATCTTGAGGGAATTTTTAAAAAATCAATTATATTCCCTGTGGTCTTCTACAAATTAGAAACAGCATCTTTATTGAGTTGGTATATTCTTTTATAGTGGCAGGGCTGTGGCAAAAACCCAAATTTGACTTCCTTGAATGCTGTATGTGTATTCAGTTCATATTATTATTATTATTATTATTATTATTATTATTATTATGATCATCATCATCATCATCATCATCATCATCATCATCATCTCTTTTATTCATTAAACATGAAACTCAGTCAACTGAACATTTAAATATTATTAATATTATTATTAATTTTGCAATTTAAAAAATTGCGGATTATATGAAGTCCTACCTATAAATCATCCATTTGTATTCAATCAGTTTTATTTTTGCAGCTAATATCTATTATAATGTTAACAAACAATGCAATACAAACACAATGGAAACCACAAAGACAACTGCCACTCACAAAACAACATCTAAGTTATATCAAAAGCAAGACCTATTAGTCTGTATAGATTTTTTCCCATCAGGTTAAAAAGGTAAAGGTAAAGGTTCCCCTTGCACATATATGCTAGTCATTCCTGACTCTAGGGGGCAGTGCTTATCTCCGTTTCAAAGCCAAAGAGCCAGCGCTGTCCGAAGACGCCTCCATGGTCATGTGGCCAGCATGACTAAATGCCAAAGGCGCATGGAACACTGTTACCTTCCCACCAAAGGTGGTCCCTATTTTTCTACTTGCATTTTTTACGTGCTTTCGAACTGCTAGGTTGGCAGAAGCTGGGACAAATAACGGGAGCTCACCCCATTACACAGCACTAGGGATTTGAACCGCTGAACTGCCAACCTTTCGATTGACAAGCTCAGTGTCTTAGCCACTGAGCCACCGCTCACCCATCAGTTTATATCATCTCAAATGCAAGAAACCAAAAGCAGAAATGAAAACTATCTTAGTGACACAAATATGTTAACTTGGTGTTCACATGTTACCCAAAAGAATCTGGATAAAGCATTATCACTCATGGGCAATATTGTTGTTTGGATTAGTTACTTTAGTCTCAGGGTTAAAGACACTGAAATGTTAATTGAGTTTTGAACTGTGCCTAGATGAACCCTTTATTTCTAGGTCTAGAGATGGCTTGGGTCCATAGGCCTCCAGAAAAGATAATAAGTGGAGAATCCTTTGATGTCATCTACTCTGTCTTTGCTTCTGATTACTTCTACCATTATGCTGTGGAAAACGGGATCTTCTTCATCAGGTTAGCATTTATAGATAAAGTTGAAGTAATTTATGCTTCTGCTTCAGGAAATATATAAGGTAGTGGAAGATGTATATGTTACCATTTTAATGAATAGTTGAGGCAATATAATAATGATGTGTCTTCATTAGACAGAATTTTCCAAATATTTGTTTAGAATTGAAACAATCCTCATTATTACATACAAACAATTCCAATTATTTTCTCAATTTCCTCCAAACAACTGTAAATTTCGTCTTCTGACATATAAATGCTTATTTTCTGACAAAAAGGAATAATGTTTGGCTTTGATCAGCATTTGTCTCTAGGTTAGGGCTCTACATATTTTGAAAATTATTTAGAAGTTCTTCAGAGCTCCTGTAAGCAAAAGCTGCATCTACTATTCCTTAAAGTAGTCTGATTTTTTTCAGACGACACAGATACTGACATCTTTCTTTTTATCCTCACAAAGAAGCCATAATAAAATTGTATTAATGAATAGTGGGAAGACATTGTGTTGCATGTGATGTGAAGGATTTTCAAATAATATTTAATGAATGTGTAGCATGACTGTGTATAGGAGACGGGTGTCAAACTGGATTTCTTTGAGGGCCAGATCAGCATTGTAGTTGTCCTCCTTGGGCCAGCCGGAGGGGGGGGGAGCGGGAGGGGATGGGACAGACAGCAGATGGGACGGATGCCTCCTGAGCACTCTGCTGGCCAAAATGGGGCACAAGGAGCCTGGACTCAGCCCCCTGCACCCCATTTTTGACCTGGACAGCCCCCTACAGCATTCTGCTGGCCAAAACAGGGTGCGGGGGACATGCAGCCCCCTGCACCTGATTTTTGCTAGCAGAGGCACTGTGGGTCGGTCCTTCGCTATTTCCAGGCTGGCTGCGCAGGCCAGATCTAACAGGCCTTGAGTTTGACACCCCTGGTATAGGCTGACTAGAATAAAGAACTGAGAATGGAAGTGATGTTTCAGGAAATCAGTATGTGGTCATAGAGATACAGATAGGCCTGAGGTGAAACCTCCTGACAAATTTAATTACAAAGCATTTATTTAGCAACAGTCTTTCATCTACCGGTAGTTTTTGCTTACTGATGATAATTGGGACCAGAAACTCCATCACAAAGTGATGCAGTCACAAGGCACAACATCATGTGATCATATTAACATATGATGGCAGTTCCAGCCGTCCAAGTTGCAATCGTTAGGCAATTCCCACACATCTACAATGTCCCCTGGTCACCTGATCACCATTTGCAAACTCCTACTGGCTTTTCCATTGTCTTTCCTTGTCAGAAGCTGGCAGGGAAGGTTATAAATGGTGATCACATGACTGCAGGATGCTGCAACGTTATAATTGGGAGCCGGTTGCCAAGCATCTGAATTGTGCAACCGTGAAGATGCTGGATGGCTGCAAGTGCTATTCATTTATTGCTATTGTAATTTTGAGCACTGAATGAGTGGATGTTTAACGAGAACTACCTGTACTTCTCAAACATTTAAATATATATCCCAGTACCAAAAAATAAAAATAAAAATGCAGAAGTGTAGAAATGTATAATTTGAGAAATAAACATACTTAGTTGTGCACATTTTGCATGAAAATAATTTTAGGGAAAATAAAATGTAATGCGAATTGTAAAAATTTGAAAAAATGTAAATATACTTCTAAATAAAGGATTATGTTTGAATGTTCATGTTTTTTTTTAAAAAAAATGCAGATTTTTGCTTATATGTATATAAAATCTGTAAAAAAAAGAGTCCAACTTCAGGGAGCACACAAATATTTTCAAAGAATTTGTTTCTATATTCATTCTTTGTTGTACTAATATGGAGTTGTGTGTGTGCTGCTTAAAACAAGTTAATGGAATGGCATGATAAATTTCAATGTAATCTTTGCCCATGTAATAATGTTATTTTTGAAGTGATGCAAAGGCTGCTAAGAAGTTTTGTGAGGAACAGGAATGTCCTCCCAACTGGAAAGATGCTAACGGAGAAAACTGTTGTGTCCATCATGCGAACATTCATTCCTGTCCATTGGCTTTCATGGTTAGTATTTCATGACAATTTTATTTAATGTATTTGTGTTGCATAGTTGGATAAACTTTTTTTTTCCTGATCTCAAATGCAGTAGCTGTTTGGAAAAGGTTAATAAAAGCAAGAAACAGGACTGAATCAAGAAGATATTTTTTCCACCTGAGGTGTAGAACAACATGGTCCTTCCTCATTCCACATTCATTGGGCCCATTAATACTGCCGATTAAATTTTAAACAACACTGTTGAACAAGAGAGGATTACCCTTTGAATAGGTCAGAAGTGTCAAACTCAAGGCCAGCAGGCCAGATCTGGCCCACTAGGTGCTTAGATCTGGCCCGCGGGGCCACCCTGGTTACAGCGAAAGACTGGTACATGGTGGCTCTGAGCTCCCTTTTCATTGGTAGAGGATTGCAGGAGGCCATCACAGCCAAAAACAGAGTTCACAAGGACCTCTGGTGGCCCTCCCAAGCTCTGTTTTTGCTGGAAGAGGGTTGCAGGAGACCGTCACAGCCAAAAACAGGGCTTGTGAACCTGTTTTCACTGGTAGAACGCTTGGGCCACCATAGGTGCCACCGACATGAGTGACATCAAGCTGGCCATGCCCACCCCAGTCTCCTAAGGTCAAACACAACCCTGATGCGGCCCTCCCCTGGTATAAGTGAACCCATGACCTTAACATCTGCAGAGCAAGATATGTAGCCCTCAGTGCCTGCCACATGACGGAATCATCCCACTATATCTAATAGTAGGACCAAGTGCCCTGGCCAAATGTGATGGGCAAGTGCCTTGGTGGCGCAGTGGACTAAAGTGCTGTTAAGTAGCACTTAGCTGCCAGCTGCCTGCAATTATTGCAAGTTCAAATCTCACGAGGCTCAAGGTTGACTCAGCCTTCCATCCTTCCGAGGTAGGTAAAATGAGGACCCGGATTGTGGGGGCAATAAGCTGACTTTGTATAAAAAAGAACACCGCTTTGGGGGGGGGCGAAAGCCCTACTAAGCAGGTATATACAAAAGTATGAAGGCTATTGCTTAACGCATTGTAAGCCGCCCTGAGTCTCCGGAGAAGGGCGGCATATAAATCGAACCAATAAATAAATAAATAAATAAATAATCATTATTTGCAGGCCTCCCTTTTGCTTATTGAGCCATCTTCCTGTTCATTAAATGTGTCAAAAATAAAAGAATACTGCTGGAAAGTGTTAAATTATATTAAACACAAATAAATAAGAAGATACTGTAGAAGTGCCATTTTTGAATAGTTACAGTCAAGGAGGAGACAATCAGGTCCTCTTTTTATGAAGGCATATGTGTATATAGGAAGTGATTATATAACAGTCATAATATCTGATTGCTTACAGTGATTGACTAACAGATTGTGCTAGTGATAGCGAAGTCTGACCTTCCTAAAGTAGACCTTATTGTTACAGCACTACTTTAAAGAATAACTCCAGATTTATTTTTGAACACATTGATTTTGGACTAAGCTAAGAGCAAATGGGACAATGAACTTTCTCCTGATACACAAACTTGAATATCTTTTACCAATACATAATAACAGGGAATGAGAGCTTTGGAGATACAGCCTGTTATTATCTATGACTGAGGCAATCCATAAGTAGAGAAATAGTAAATCAACTCTTGACTAGTAGCACTTCTAAATAGCACTTTTCCTCCACTAAATTTTGCTTTGGGGTCACAGAAGTCCAAATCTCTTCTCAACCAGTGATATTAACAGCTGGCCTGGGAAACAGTATTCTTTTAATCTATGACATATACCTATTTTAGAAATAACAATGCTGTTATGGGAATCATAGTGCTGGCATCCATTGTTCATTTCCAATTTTGAGATGCTTTTAAAAATGCAGGGTTTCTCCCTTGTTTCTTCCTTTTTTTTTTTTTTTTTAAAAAAAGAGGTTTCTGATTTTATTGTGTGGTAATAAGACTTGTGAGCTGATCCAAAGGATGTCTGTGATCTTAGCCATTAGGTTATTAAAGTTGCATTCAAGGTCAGATTTTCTATATTTTATATTACCTTGCTCAGATGGAATGAAGTATGAAGGCTAAAAAGACCATGCCTTTGTTATATAAAATACATTTATATTTCAAGAACTTGGCTTAGTTAAGTAGGAGCTATTTATACCTGGTATTTTTTTAAATCATCAAATACCTTGCAGGAGGTATCCACATTTTTGATAAATCATATATACAGATGTCCAGGCAAACCCCTGAAATTAGCAAGGAGAAATTAGACATTTTTAGAATTAATACCTTAAAACCTTCATCCTGAACAAGGATTACAACATAGTGAGCATTAATTATTTTTCCTGGGAAATGAGAAGCTTTGAAAAATACTAATTCAAAACAGCATTATCAAATTAAAGAAAGTCTATAGAGCAGCTGTCAGAATGAGCTGAACATCAAAGGAAAAGCATGAAGGAATTCTCTGTGTAGGAAGTCTATAAGCAAAATCTCCTTATGCTACAGTCTCCTAAAAAGTCACTGAACAGGCAGCTCCATTAAAATAAGTGGGGGAAAATAACCTCTGATTAGGCAGTCATGTATAGATGAGCATTACTGGTGTGGGTGACTGAACCAAAGGAATATTTCAACAATTTTGCTGCTTTTTGTAATGTGCCTCATCAAATACCATTCTATTGGCTGTATAAGAATGACTGTCAGTTTGCAGCGATAAGGGAAGGGAAGTTCAGACTAATATCTGAGAGGAGTCTTAAAAGAGAGCAGATCTTTCTTCTTTCACAAAATAAGGACACCTTAATCCATTATTTTACACAAGTGGCATTTCCACACATCCATCATTTTCCTCTCCCAAACTCACAAAACCATATTACAGAAATAGCAACGGTGACAATATTCACATTTGTCTCTATGTGAGTATTCACACTGCTGCTGTTTCTTTAATGTCCAGGAGTAGGACATAACAAAGGGACATGGTGGCTCAGTGGCTAAGATGCTGAGCTTGTCGGTCAAAAGGTCGGCAGTTCAGCGGTCTGAATCCCTAGTGCCACGTAATGGGGTGAGCTCCCATTACTTGTCCCAGCTTCTGCCAACCTAGCAGTTCGAAAGCACGTAAAAAATGCAAGTAGAAAAATAGGAACCACCTTTGGTGGGAAGGTAACAGTGTTCCGTGCGCCTTTGGTGTTTAGTCATGCCAGCGACATGACCACGGAGACAGGGACAGCACTGATTCTTCGGCTTTGAAACGGAGATGAGCACCACCCCCTAGAGTTGGGAACAACTAGCACATATGTGCGAGGGGAACCTTTACCTTTACCTTTTTAGGGCATAACAACTGGCATCCAGCTAGTACCCTCTCTCCCCATTGTACTTACCATTTTCTTCTCTCACTCAGATTCATAGAAAGTGGTGGGAGTAATTCAGTTTTTAAAAGCATATCTGTTATACCCTGGATTTATACCCTGAATTTTATTTTTTGTTTTATATTTTTGATGCGATCCTAAGACAAATCAATCAATAAAGTATCAATAAGCATAGTGAAATGGTGCTGAAATGTTACTGTAATGAAGCAAAACCAACAAGCCCAGATGAGATTCTATTAACTGGGAGAAAAATCAGCCCTCTCTTCATCAGATATCATTCAATGTGAAGGAACCTTCTAGAAGTACATTCGTTATTTCAGTGAATAGAAAATGGGACACCTATGAATGTTCCTTACATCTTGAGTCTTCTAAAGATTCAGCTTGTGTTATCATATAGATTCATCCCACGTATCTTACATAGCAGAAATACCAGTAAGAGTTAAAGAATGTTCAAGTGCAGAATTACTTGTACACTGCATTAAATCATTTTAATTGGAATACTGCTTTGTGTCTAATGGCTCAGAAGAGTGGATGTTACAAACTGTGCAAGCCATCTCAAGTTTGTATTCTGTTCTACTGCCACTCCTTATTTTCTCCCTCTGTGATGTTTTGACAATGATTTGCCAGAGGGCTTTAGATGCTACAAAAACAGTATATATCTTTTTTTTTCCCCTGAATTAATTGGAGGTCATTTATTTGTCTAAAAATAATTCATAGTTTAAATTCATTCTTATTCATGAAGTCTTAAATTTAATATCTCTACTTTTTTGCTATCTGTTTGTTACACTAATTTAGCCTCTAAGTTCCGATGCCCGCTGTTCTTTCTTACCATTTCTTCTGCAATGACCTAAAACTGTACAGATTAATGAAATTAATGATGTTGAATGTAAGAGTTACACCAGTAATATTCTGGTATACAAAGAAAAATGCAGAATAAATGGTTACTGTAATTGTGTAACTCATTTTATGTTCCTGGGAAGTTAGCCAAAGTTTCACAAAAGGCTGAGTTATATATTCTCATTTTTTTAATTGTGACATACAATATAGAATACTTGTCTGTTGTTGGGTTCTCCATAGAAAACCTTTAAGGTAGGTTAATTCTCATCTATTTGGCAAAAGGCAAATGGTGGCATATGTGGACCATGGATCCCGGATGATGGTCAAATATTTACACATACCGTGTCTACCGCAGGCAAAATGACACAGACAAACTGGACTGCTAAGGTAAGAGAAGATTTGATCTTCACTATAGAGATAGTCCTCAACTTATGACCACAGTTGAGTCCAAAATTCATGTTGCTAAGTGAGACATTTAAGTGAGTTTTGCTCCATTTTATGACTTTTTTGCCACAGTGGTTAAATGATTCACTGCAGTTGTTAAATTAGTAACATGGTTGTTAAGTGAATCTGGCTTGCCCATTGACTTTGCTTGTCAGAAGGTTGCAAAAGGTAATTGCGTGACCCCAGGACACTGCCACTGTCATAAATATGAGTCGGTTGCCAAGCGCCTGAATTTTGATCACGTGACTATGGGGATGCTGCAGTACTCGGAAGGGTAAAAAATGGCCATAAGTCACTCTTTTCATTGCCGTTGTAACTTCAGTCACTAAATGAACTGTTGTAAGTTGAAGACTACCTGTACTCTCAATTTCCCGGCTGTTCGTAAAGGCTTTTTCATCCATTTTGTACAAACATGAGCTTCTTTCCTTAATCTCATTCATTCACATGGATAACACTCTGCTTCTCTTGGGGCCTGATTTGCATTTGGCATAAGTTCATCCATGTCTTCAAAACAAGAACAAAAAAAAAAAATACCTGACAAGGTTCCTATGAATCAATGTGTCAATAATAAAGCAATATAGCTCTAAATTACAGATGCTGGGAGAAACAGGGAAAAGATATTATGAGGCCTGCTTGCGACATTCCAGAGCAGCTAGAGCAGAGGTGGGGAAGATGGCTCTTTTATGACTTGTGGACTTCAACTCCCAGACTTCCTGAATTAACAGAATAACAGAGTTGTAAGGGACCTTGGAGGTCTTCCAGTCCAACTCCTGGCTCAGACAGGAAACCCTATACCACAGGTGTCAAACTTGCGGCGTTACGTTGCCATCACATGACGTTTCTCGATGTTTTTCCCATTTGCGGCGCTGTGGTGGGCGTGGCCTGAGTGTGACTCATCTGGTCCGTGGGCCGCAGTTTAACACCCCTGTCCTGTACCATTTCAGACAAATGGTTGTCCAGTCTCTTCTTAAAAACTTCCAGTTTTAGAGCATTCACAACTTCTGGAAGCAAGTTGTTCCACTGATTAATTGTTCTAACTGTCAGGAATGTTCTCCTTAGTTCTAGGTTGCTTCTCTCCTTGATTAGTTTCCATCCATTGCTTCTTGTCCAATTCTGGGAGTTGAAGTCCACAAGTCATAAAAAGGCCATTGTTCCCCAACCCTGATCTAGAGGAAGCACAGCATTCTAGATTAGATTGGTCTTTCTGATGCAAAAGTATAACTGTCTGTTTATATTTTTTCTTTGTTTTGTAGGTAGTCCTGGTACATGTGGGTGTGACGTCTCTCATTGCCCATGTCAGAGTGGGGAAAATGCAGGCTGCTCTAGAGGCCCAAACAATAGTGCTCCCTGCAGTAGGTATGCACCAAATTTAGCCATAGTTGCTACAGAGACCTAAGTATCTGCAGAATTGGGCTGAGGCAGGCAAATGGTGAAACAAGTGCGGTGATATAAGTGTCTGCTTCTTATGGAAGGATGGAGCTTGCATCATGGCCTCATGACACACCTTTCATTCTTTTGGTGTCATTATGATACCATTGGACAGTTACATATGGAAACAAGCATTAAATTGCCAGAAAGTCTTGAATGTTCATTAGAGTGAGAGGGGAGGAGGAGGGAGGGGTATATGATCCTTTGAGACTTCCAGAAAGACAGACATGGATACCTCTTTTATCTGAAGGGAAATACTTAGCTGAGAGACTACAATTAAAGTATACAGACCGCTGAATTTCCCTTTCTAAGGCCTTCCCCTTCTAACATTCATAATCCTACTCTTTAAAAAAAAAAGCCATAGTAAGCCCCACAGTCTTCCTTTTGTTTCTTTTTTTGAAATGCAAGTGAAGACTAGAACAAGAACAAAATGGTAGTTGCTTTTTGCACTACGATAGTTCAGTTTTTCTCAACCTTGCCTGCCCAGATCCATTAGATTACATCTCCACATCACAGCTACAGGATGAAATTGATATATAGTCTAATATGTTTAGAAAGTCAGAATTGAAGAAGAGGTTTTGAACACTTAAAGACTTCTCTTTTACTGGACAATTTTTTAAAAAATTGTAACAATTTAGAGTATGGACAGTAATCTGAAAATGCACTGTTCAAATCTTATTTCACCTGCATATTTCACTGGATAACCTGAGGAAAATATTTTTTGCCTTTTGAATCTCACTTACACCTAGCTGGCCAGTTATCAAGTTCACGCTAGCATCTGCTGACCCAATCTTTTTTTTTTTTTAATTTGATTTATATGCCGCCCTTCTCCGAAGACTCAGGGCGGCTTACAATGTGCTCAGCAATAGCCTTCATCCTTTTGTATATTTATACAAAGTCAGCTTATTGCCCCCACAAACTGGGTCCTCATTTCACTTACCTTAGAAAGGATGGAAGGCTGAGTCAACCTTGAGCCTTGGCAAGATTCGAACCCTGCAGTAATTGCAGGCAGCTGGTCTTAAGCAGCTTAATAACAGGGTGCCTTAAACCCTTGTACTACCAAGGCTCTTTGCAATCTTGCCCTACATTTGATGGCATTGGATGCTTTTTGGAACACCTTTCTTTTAAATTACATAATTACCATTAAGGCTTATTGTGCTTCTCTTTCTTCCATTATTGATGTTGATGTTGATTCTTTCTCTTTGTGCTCAGTCTGTGGCGATGACATTTGCGAAGATGATGAGAGCTGTTCCATATGCCCAGCTGATTGTGGGGAATGTCCCTTGACAACTGAAATCAAGATAGCCATTGCTCTACCAATATGTTTAGTCTGTACTGGTTCCATTTTGACAATCTTGGTACATATCAAGTAAAATGTTATCACTCACGTTCTTCATTCAACTGCTCTCCTTCCCATTTTCCTCATTCTTTTTTAGTTCCTAGTTTTTAACCTTCTTTAATGTTATAAACTAAGATGTTTTGTTCTATTTCTTTGCTGGCTTCATGGATGTACCTGGGTGAAATGTAACTGTGACGGCCTTATACTCAAGAGATATATTTTTGGAACCGATAGTTACAGAGATCCTCCCTAGAGAACCTGACAGATGGGTACATTCCTTTGCCATTTTGTTAACTATAAATTGTCTTTCCGCTGTGGATGGGTAGGCAGAGACTCAGCATAATGAACGATTACACGTGCGTTACATTATGGGGTTCAAAAAAAAAAAGCTGAAATCTCTTGTCTTTTCAGCTTTTCAAGGAAACATTGCGGGATGGAAAGGAATTAAAGTTGAATTCATACAACCATTTAAAACCAATATGATGAATATGTTAAAAGACACCTCAGGTTCTTTGCTCTGGAGCGATGATCAGCCTTGTCAAATTGGGTCAGGATTATAATTGCAATCAGAGTAAATGTACCCCGTGTTTTTAGATAATGAAATAGGGTTTCAGCTCTTCACCACTCCATGTAGTTTCTTCTATCATTTCCTCTTTCATTATCTCCTGCTCTTTTCTATAGACTTTGCATCAGTAGTGGGTTTCAATTTCGACTGCTACTGGTTTGCTCGTGGGTGCACGCGCAACACTTCTACGCATGTGCAGAAGCTTCTGCACATGCGCAGAGATGTCAGGGCGGGAAGGTGGAGCCTCCCGCTGCCGTCACTACCGGTTCGCTCGATCTGGGGCAAACCGGTAGCAATCCACCACTGCTTTGCATATCTTTATATTGTATTGTCTATTCTCTCTTCCTCTACTCCACTGAAATTCTGACAAAATGTAATGTTGATGGCCAAAACAGCTTCCCTCCCTCCCTCCGTGTGTGTCAGTGTGTGTGTGTGTGTGTGTGTGCATATCGGTGTGTGTCTAAACAAAAGGATATAGTCATATATATAGCTTCTTAAAGGAGATAGGATGGAAAACTACTTTCCACTCAATTTTCTGAGTACGTTGCTGCTTAGGCTGATGCATGTAGCAGATGATAGTTTATAATGTAGTGTGAAAACTGCATTATATATTATAGCAGTCATGATATTTCCTGTGTTAAAACTGTCTCCATGGATAACATGAAGAGGTCTTTTTTTTTTTTTTACTTCCATTCATAATCATATCTATCTAAATAAGTCCCTGCAGTTTTCTTGGTAAGGTTCTTTTTAGAAGTGGTTTACCATAACCTCTTTCCTAGGGATGACAGAAACTAGCTCAAGGTCATCACTTAAGCTTTGTACTTAAGGCAGGACTACAATTCACCATCTCCCAGTTTCTAGCCTGATGTTTTAATCATTACACTAAACTAGCTCTCAAAGAAGTCTTAATTATTAATTAATACTTTATTTTGAATAAATAGCCAACAATGCCTATGGTTGGATAATTGTTAATGGTTTCAGTTCTATTTTTCTCATATGGTAAACTGCCTTAAATCTCTTGAGAAATTGGTGGTCTATAAATAAGAATATAAATAAATTGCCTGATATGATAAGTAATAGATGCAATTACTACAAGATTCAGATTAATCATTGCTAATTCTATATAATAGGATTCTTTTTTTGCTTCCTGCCCTAACTGTAACTCTTCAAGGAGTTATGTTATTAGGCATGAGCTTTGGTTAAAAAGAGTGGCAGTGTGGAAGTGTTTGTACAAATACCATTTCTTAAATTGTTCAAAATTGCTTACATTTGACAATGTATGAGGTATCCTCTCCCTTGCTGCAATATTGCTGGACTCAAAGGAGCAATTCCTAGGAATAAATTTGTTCTGCTCTTTCCTTTAGTGGTTTCAGTACCAAAAACAAAAAATGTTTTGGGATGAAAGCTGGATTATAGATTACAGCTGTATCAAGCAAGGTATGTAAGTGTTTTGCTTCATGAATCAAGAAACTCACAAATTGGGAATGGACCAGTATGATAATTATCCAAGGAAAAGTTTTACTGAAGTCCCTGTTATTTATCCTAAAGTAGGGGTCAGCAACCTGTGGCTTTGGAGCCGCATGTGGCTCTTTCATCCCTCTGCTGCAGCTCCCTGTTGCTGGTCAGCTCCACAATTGATAGGGCTTTTGGTTAGGACAGGTAGAGGAAAAAGGATGCCGTGCTAAGAGGAGACTCTATGGTGGGGGAACTGGACTTCCGGTCGGCTCCAGAATTGAACAGGGGCTTTATTTATTTATTTATTTATTTATTTATTTATTTATTTGTTTGTTTATTTATTTGTTTATTTATTCAATTTATATGCCGCCCCTCTCCGAAGACCCAGGGTGGCTCACAATACACTCAAAAAATCACTATAAAAACACTTAAAAATTAAAAACATTAAAGACATTAAAATCCATTCACACCATTCATGGCCAGATCTCGTCAGATCGCAAAGCGAGATCAATGGCCCCAGGCCTGCCGGAAAAGCCAGGTCTTCACCGCTTTTCGGAAGGCCAATAGGGTGGGGATGGTCCGGACCTCAGGAGGTAACTGGTTCCAGAGAGCTGGGGCAGCCACAGAGAAGGCCCTCCCCCGCGGGCCCGCCAGCCAGCATTGTTTAGCTGATGGGTCCTGGAGGAGACCAATGCTGTGGGATTTTACCGGTTGCTGGCACCTATACTATACCTGTGCATTTGGTTTTTCTTAATAATAATAACCGGTAGATAATAATAATGCAGTAGAAGGCGGTCTCAAAGATAACCTGGCTTCCGGTTAGGATCTTTGTGGCTCTTTTTTAAGGTTGCCGACCCCTGTCCTAAAGAGAAGGGAGAAAATGTTTTATCAGTCTATTGCAAATCCTTCAACCATTGTTTCAAAATGTTGGAAACTTGAAAGCTCCTGGGTGTGCATGTGAGCATTTTTAAGAGCAGAGAACCCAGCCAGAGCAATAATTAATGAAGCAGGTTTCATAACTATAATAAGAAAGAGAATGTTTTATCAGAAATACATTATAGAGATAGGAAGTGTTTAGCACTAGCTAATTACTCAGATGGAATGAAGTGACCTGAAATTTGTAATTTCTTAGAAAAAGTGCAGGGAGAGTTATAGACAAGAGGAAACATAGAATAATCTTTAACTCTTTATCTACACCCTGATGCCCCTTTGGAGTTATTACGTTATTATTATTAAGAAAAACCAAATGCATAGGTATAGTATAAGTCAGTGTTGGCAAACCTTTTTGGCACTGAGTGCTGAAACGGGAGTGCGGGAGTGTGCGCGGGGGAGTGCCAGAAACAGGAAGAGCAGTTGAGTAGATGAGCTTCTGGTTTCTGGTGTGCACATGCGTGCTGGTCACCTGGTCTTCCGGTTTCTGATGCACATGCATGCACAAAGACCAGCTGGCCGGCACATGTGTGCGCCAGAGCGCGCATGTGCACCAGGGAGCTGCTGTTCTGGTTTCTGGCGCTCCCGCGGATGGGAAGACCAGCTGGCCGGAACCCGGAAGAGCAACAGGCAACAGCTGGCGTGCCCATAGAGATGGCTGTGCATGCCACTTCTGGCACGCGTGCCATAGGTTCGCCATCATGGGTATAGGTGGTAGCTGGCTCAATAGTAGTAATTGTGAGAGGGATCTTGGATCCAAATATGGGTAAGCTATCGTCATGACTCCATAAGGTGACAGAGAAGACACATCAGTTTTAAGTACTGTGTATCTTTTTTCCATATGACCGTCTCATCAAAGAGCTCCTATTATTATAATATACTAGCACCACTTGGAGTATTAAATTTGCTTTATTTTCTGTCTTATTAGTTCAGTGTGGATTTATCGGCTTATGATGAAGCAAGTATTTATTTGAATGCGGGCCCTGTACAAAGCAAAGATGGCTAATAAATGCATTCTATCTAATGTTAGCAAGTTCAATAAATATTAATGTTGCAATTAGCCTGGATTTAATAAATATTCCAAACTGAAAAGCATAAATGCAAAAGAATAGTAAGCAAAATAGATTATTGCTTCATTCACTATGAAAAATAAATATAAATGTGTAGCTATAAGAGAAATAACCAAGAAGAGAGCTATATACTAAAAAGAGGGGTAGGTATCAAGATTTGTTGAAAACCTGCCCCAAAGTTCCATTTCAAAAATTGTCTCAGCTCTTTCCTATGGACGGCCTTTTTATCAATGCACTGCAGTCTACTTCAAATACATGTAGTCCTTGACTTATGACCACAATTGGAACCAGAATTTCTGTTGCTAAGAAAGGCAGTTGTTAAGTAAGTCACGCCCAATTTTGCAACTTTTTTGCTACTGTTGTTAAAGCAGATCACTGCAGTTGTTAAGTGAATCGTGTGATTCTTAAGTAAATATGGCTTCCCCCGTTGACTTTGCTTGTTGAAAGCTGTCTGGGAAAGTTGTAAATGATGATTATGATCCCAGGACACATCATAAATACAAGGTGATTGCCGTGAGACAAAATTTTGCTCCCATGACTGGGGCTGCTGTAAATGGTCCTAAGTGTGAGGACCAGTTTTAAATCACTTTCTTCAGTGCTCTTGTAACTTCAAATGGTCACTAAATGAATAGCTGTCAGCCAAGGACAACCTGTAGAATACCTGGCAGATTACCAATACAACAAACTTGTGTATGTGCAGGGATATGGATAGCACATTATAGTAATCTGTGAGTATTCATGCCAATGGGTCTATAAACTATTGAATTTCTTTTTCTCCCTCCTTAGACCGTTTTTCAAGAACTGCCATGGGGAGTACCTTGAGTATTCCACGTGCACCCAGCATCTCCAACACCAGCTGTCTCACGGGGTTGAGCTCCTCTACAGCACCTGCCAATGCTTCCAAGGTGAAGTACTTCTCGCCCTCTGGAATCTAGTAAGAATTTTTTGATCATTCATGCAATCCTTGGAGTTTTCATTAGTCAAAATGCTATGTTCCCTCAAAGAAGATCTTTTTCGTTTGTTTACATCTGAAAGCATGTTCATCAGTTCTTTTTCTTGGGTACTACTCAGTGGTGGGTTGCTCCTGGTTTGCTCCAGATTGGGTGAACCGGTAGCGGCGGCGGCAGGAGGCTCCTCCCACCTGCATGGATGCTTCTGCGCAAAAGCATTGCGTATACGCACAAGCACGCACGCACGAGTGAACCAGTACCAACTAAATTGAAATCCATTATTGGTGCTACTCCTAACACATGTGTATAAAGATACACACATATAATAAGCATGATAAGATCATTTGTTGTCTGTTGCCCTCCTTCCCCCATTTCTCTGTACCAAAATTGATGAGCAATGCTTTTGAACACTGGTTATATTTCCTCAGCCTTGGGGATTTAGATTTCGAGGGCACATGGAAGACTGCAGAAGAGGAGGGGAGAAAATCTTATTGTGTAAATCTAGCCTAATATTATATTCATCTTGAGTATCCCACAAGTCATAGTTGAGATATGAAGAGATTTAATGTAGAATAGCCCCATAGGTGAAACTTACTGCATAACCAATACTTTTAAACCTAGCTTGTGTCATAGAATGAAGAAAATCAAAGTGATTTCAAAGTACTTGGACTTTATGATTGTTGGCAGTTAAGACAAGCATCTCTATATTTTTTCAGTGATGGCAGAACAGTTGCCATCAAAAAAATAATGAAAAAGACATTTACCCTTACCAAGACCATACGTAAAGAAGTCAAGCAAGTAAGGTAAGCTATACACATATATTCTCTATATATACAGTATGTCTAGATGCATGTCTACTAATGAAGTAATAAGCATCCTATGTGACTTTACATTGATTTTCCTCTTGCTTGAAATCTGCTGTATATTTCATTTATTAAACAACTGATCATAGCTGGTATTTTTCTACATCAGTTGGAATTCAAAAAGGACACAGAGAAATCTTTCTTTTTTCTAAAACAAATTCCCTCTTCACTCAAATATTAGCATTATAAACTGGCTCATGTAAGGTTTTGCACCTAAACAAGAGGACTAGAAATGTGATTTCTTTAAAAAATAAAGTAGATTCTGGAATTCTAAAAAAAAAAATCACAAGAACTTTCCATCATGGAAGAATGAATGGTAAAGGTGATGGGGTTGGTGGAGATGGTAAAATTGACTGTTTTAATTCAACAGAAGAATTTATCTACCGTATTTTTTGGAGTATAAGACACTCCGGACTATAAGATGCACCTACATTTTTTGGTGAGGAAAACAAGAAAAAGAAATCTGCCTCCCAACAATTTTGCAGCAAACAGCAAACAGCCTGCTTTACTTGCATTTTCATTTTCAACTTAGCTTGATTAGCACAAGAAAAAAAAAATGCTCCCAGCAATTTACCTTCTTGCAGCAAGCAGCAGAGGCCTGCGCAGCAATAGGCAAAGGCAATCCCTGCAGCCTGAAACAGCTGAGAGTCCGGAGGCGGACAATCAACTTGTGCTAATTAGGCTGTGCTAATTAGCTGAAATGGGCTGTTTCTTCTTGCTGCTTGCTACAAGGAGGTAAATTGCTGGGAGGCAGAGGCCAAAGGGTGGGGGCCAGTGGATGGGTGGGGCTACATTCAGTGTATAAGATGCACCCAAATTTTCACTCCATTTTAGGGGGGAAAGGTGCGTTTTATACTCCGAAAAATATGGTATTTTGTTTTCATTTGGAGTCCATTTCTGGATTTTGTACTTGAAACTGAAAAAAAAATGTAACTAATTTTAGGTTTTCATTAGAATGACTTTGAATGGCTTGAAAATTTTGGAAATATAAAGCAAAAGGCTGAAGTTGTAATTGTTTTTATATTCTACTGTAGTGAAAAAAATCATTACTCCCCCCCCTTTTTTTCCCTATTTCTTTCTGTACTTCTTCTTTAACTTTCTCAATTTTTGTTTCTATTTGTATTTTATCTTATAATAGCTTTATCTTTGTAAACTGCCTGGAGTGAGTTGGGCAGCCATATAAATTTTCTTAAATAAATAAATAAACTTTAATGAAAAATAAAAAAAAATTCCCAAGAACTAAATATTTATGTGGGCAATAAAGGATTCCCTATCAGGAATGAAGGCAGTGAAATAGAATAAGATTGGGTTTTCTTACCCTAAACTCACTGGACCTTCACTTCTCATTGGATTCCCTCATTCTGTGGCTTACATGATCTGATGCCTCTTCTCATCAAATAGATTTTATCAGCTTTCTCCAGCCAAGCATCCACCAGATGTACTGGGTATTATGCCTATGCGTGCTTCCAAAATGATTAAGAAAAATGTTCCACAAGCACAACATCTCTGCTATTCATTAAAGCAGCAGATTCCCTGTGAAATCTGGGGAGAAAAAAAAGAGATTGAACCCCTTTAAGGGACAGATGTTTTTAACTTAATGTAACTTTTCAGGCAGTGCCACATTTTCTTCCAGATTTCTTCGGAAGCCTTAAAAAAGAAAAGCTGTCTATGTATTGCAGAGAGGTGCTGAATTTTTGTGAGGTCTGAGGCCTAAAGCATTTTCAAAACACGAGCAGATATATTGAGTATGACACTGTCATAACCCCCTCTTCCACCTGGAGAGAGAGTTTTCGTTCCTCCAGCCAGCTCTGAGTAGGTTTGGTGGGCTTTACTTTCCATTGTGTGAAGTGTCTGCCAAATAAGGCTCTGCAAAGTTTTGGGTTCAATTCCAAACAGATGCTTCAAGGAGTTGTAAGTGTACCCCTTGTCTGCAACCCTGTGAAGCAGTTATGCCTTTTTCAGGTATGTAGCACACTCTGTGCTTTCTGTGAATAGAAAGAGTACATAATTTCTGAATGCATTGATGCTCTGGACCTTCTGCTAATAGCAGGTTTTTCCAGAACTGAACTCTGGATTGGATCTATTCTTGACCATGTTTTTATCTACCAGACATTTTGTAGTGATATCCACTCTACTGGTTTTGAGCTTCAATTTTTGAATACCCCACTTCTGGAAGCAGCATAGCAACATTCAGAATACCCAATCTTCACAGTCCCAATAACAGCTGGGAAAGGCTACATTAGATTTACCTCCAGTCCCAGCAACTTGGACCAGTTAGTCAACCCAAATAATCTACAATTCACCACTTCAGTAATTAATGTTCAAGTGAATTCTGGAATTTGATCCCGACTCCCAATATATTTCTATTGTAGTGAAAATGCATTTCTCAGGAGCAACATAACACAATTTGGATATTCTCTAACTGATAATTCAGATAAGTATGCTGAGTTTTGGGTTTTTTTTTCCCCTCTACAGACAATTAGATCATCCAAACATTTGCAAATTTATTGGAGGCTGCATTGAGGTACCAAATATTGCCATAATAACAGAATATTGCCCTAAAGGAAGTTTGAATGATGTGCTGCTTAATGAAAACATTCCTTTAAACTGGGGCTTCAGGTGAGAGAATCAACATAGCAGATAGAATACTGTATTTTTATAGGCTGAAACTTCATTAGATAAATAAAATAACAGCACAGTGCAAACTTAGTGTTACCTTTAGGAATAAATAATAGATTGAGCATAAATATGTAATCAAATACTGATGAGATCTTGGTCATGGTAAGATTGCAATTGGGCGTTAGAATATTCTATCCTGTGTATTACTTGTTACTACTAACTACATTACTTAGAAACCTAAAATCATGATTATTACATATTGGTTTGGTCTGTTATGTGAGAACACATTGTTAATTTGTTACATCCATCATAGCTAAACCAGAAGCTTACTCTTATCTTGCTCAGAAGGAAAGTCTGGAGTGTGACTGACAAAGATCAAGCTTTTCATGCAGATAGGATTGTGCTCTGAGTTTGAAGCAGTGGTAGGTTGCCCCTGGTTTGGACCAGTTCACAAGAACCGGTAGTAAAACCAGCGGGAGGCTCTGCCCACCGACCCGGACGTCATCAGGTAGCTTCTGCGCATGCGCAGAAGAGCGTGCGAGTACACGAGCGAAGCTTCTGCACATGCGCATGCTGGCAGCCCCGTTGCAAACTAAGTAGAACCCACCCCTGGTTTGAAGACACAGTAGCTTGTCCAAGTAGGGTGGGTGGGTGGGTGAGGGAAAAATGAATTTATATCTTCCAATTGTATTGAAAAATATTAGGATTTAAACATGTAGTGAAGATTAATTCTACTGATTCCCTGACCGAACTTACTATGCATGATCATAGATTATGGATGAAAAGTTTTCTTAATTTTTTATATTTGCGTATATCTATTAAGTAAGAACGGATGCAGTGGCTCAGTGGCTAAGATGCTGAACTTGTTAATTGAAAGGTTGGCAGTTCAGCGGTTCGAATCCCTAGGGCCACATAACGTGGTGAGCTCCCGTTACTTGTCCCAGCTTCTGCCAACCTAGCAGATCGAAAACACATAAAAAATGCAAGTAGAAAAATAGGGACCACCTTTGGTGGGAAGGTAACAGCGTTCCGTGCACCCTTGGCATTTAGTCATGCCGGCCACATGACCATGGACACGTCTTCGGACAGCACTGGCTTTTCGGCTTTGAAACAGAGATGAGCACTGCCCCCTAGAGTCGGGAACGACTAGCAGATATGTGTGAGGGGAACCTTTACCTTTACCTTATTAAGTAAGACTCTAGACACTGAATTATATAAACCTAGTTCTAAGGAAGACAGTAGCCAGTGAGTTTAAGATGCCTCTTAACTTAAACCTACTTTAATTAGTTAGCTGTGTGCTGTATAAGAAATGCTAAAAAATGTAAGGGAAAAAACTATGTCTGATCATTTCTAATTTCATCATCCACACCCAAGAAGAATATCAGGCTATGTCATTTCTTGTCTTCAGCTCTTGAATAAAGTAACAAGGACAAATTTTCTAATCTTTTATGACCATGAACGTGAAATGCAGTCCAGCTCAAAAAGAATTGTTTTGTAGAAAACCTTTACTGTCATACCCTCAAATAGCTGCTTTTCTCAAGTTACATTGCATTGTTTGGGGGCAGGTGCTTGAATTTGAGGATATTGAAATGATGAGAAACATAAACCTATATAAGATGGTTACGAATTTAGGTTGTGATTTGTAGATTCTGAATAAAATACAGCTTTTTTTTAAAAAAAAATGCATTGATACATCCTAATTAATAGATATTTCAATATCATTTTGAAGCACTCACATCATGACACTAATACCCAAGATTCTAAGTAGCCAATTCAGAAGATAAGTGTCTCATTATTAGCTCTCAGTCATGTCTAGTACAGTCTCATTTAATCTGGTTTTCTGCTACATGCATTAGACAGCAAATTACTTCCACACAAAAATCAGGTTAGGGAAGGTTGCTCTTATAAAAATAACTTCTTGTTCTGACCTCATGCCCAGTTTCCTTTGACTGTTTCTTTAGAACTATATTATCTAGAAAGAAAACATGTGTTATCAAGACATTTTTTTCACCTTAGCCGTTCTAAAATAAGGTTGCACAATGGCTAAGATTTTACTCAGAATCCAAGCTCTCTATCTTAGACATTCATAAAACATTTTTATCTCTTTATATATCTTTGATTTTGTAGGGCTACGAAATCTGGGCTGTAAAAAGATACAGAAAACTATCTTTGCTGACAGATATCAGACTTCATATCTAGCTTGTGTTATGTTAATATAAATAATACCATGCATTGGCATTTTCCAGAAATATTATATAGCACTGAACACTGTGATTTCATACTGTTAGATCGTGGGCGCAAAAAAGGACAGGACTCGCAGTAGAATCAACTCTTTATTCAGCTCCATAATCGCAATGGCCAAACCTAGCCAGCTTTTATAGCTAGGAGCTGTCCGCAGCTTCAGCCACTGATGGTCCCCTGAATTTCCCGCTCTTGTCCCTGATTGGTCCATTCAAATCTGCCACTCAATACTCAACACATACTAGCCATTTTATTCATTAGGTTCCAACCTCATACTCCTCTATCTATGGGAATGTTCAGTTTAGTGTAGTGGTTAAGGCACCAGACTAAAAAGTGGGAGACCACGAGTTCAACTCTTACATGAAAGCTAGTTGGGTGACTCTTAGTCACTCTCAGCCCAACTCACCTCACAGGGTTGTTGTGGTGAAGAAATAAGAGGAGGAATGTTCGTTGGATATATTCACTGCCTTGAATTATTTGTAAAAATAATAAAGGTGGAACACAAACAAATAAATGTTGGACAAAACTCAATGGGCAGGTTATCATTAAGCAAATGTCTATAGAATTACAATACATGCACATTCCAGAAACTCATTCCTTTTCATGCAACCATAGTATTGACTTTTTTAATTACCTTAATAAAATATGGAGATAATTATTCCCCACTCAAAAATTACTTAACTTTTTATATACAAAATCATTAAATTTAGCTAAGGTTACTATATTTAAGAAAATGCAATAGTCTGCAGGTTTATCTCCATATAGACTAACACTTATGTCAGTCTGGAATAAAATCCACAGTCCAAGAAAAGGGAGGATTCGAATTTAGTATAAATGGTTTTGGATATGGAGACATATTTTCTTCCTGGCATCCTTCTCCTCTTATTATAATGTCTTTCAAGTTACTTTTTTATGCTGGAATAATTGGGTGTGACGTATGAGTTGTGGCAGCACAGTGGTTAGAATGCAGTATTGCAAGCTAAATCTGCTCACAGCCAAGAGATATATCCTGATGAGCTCAAGGTTGACTCGACCTTCCATCCTTTTGAGCTTGGTAAATGAGGGCCCAGATTCTTGGGGGCAATATAGTGATTCTGTAAATTGCTATCATTAGAAAGAGAAGATTCATTTGGGTATGTGTGTGTGAGAAATGAACAATATGAATGAATGTTTCCCTTATGGCTTATTATTGTTAGTGTAGGAGAGGATATTGTAGGGTGTAAGTCAAATATCATTGAACACTTTCCTGTTTGTTCTATTGAGTTCTTTTAAATCTTATCATCTCCTTCTCCTCTACCTCCTCTCCTTCTCCTTTAATGTATATTAATGCTAACCATTGTTCCATCCTCTGTTTAGACTTTCTTTTGCCACTGATATTGCACAAGGAATGGCATATCTTCACCATTATCGAATTTATCATGGACAGCTGAAATCAAGGAACTGTGTTATCGATGATCGCTGGGTCTGTAAGATTTCAGGTAAGAAGAGAAGAAGATGAAAAGTACCTTCAGTTAAGTATTAGGAGACTAAATTAGATACTACAGGACAAACAATTTTACATCAAATGATTGTCTTAGGGTTACCAGAGAGGAATTTTGATGACTAGGGAGACTCAGATTGAAGTCTTCAGTTGATCATGGAGTCTACTTGGTAATTGTGGAGTTAATATTGTTTGAAAAAAGGATTTTTAAGTAATTTTACTTAAAATTACAATTGCTGCAATAAAAACTAATATAAACTAAAAAATACAATTAAAAATGAAGGTGCAGGAAAGGAAAGGAAAAAAAATTGAAAGAAAAATAGAAAAGAAAGTAAGAATATAGTAAAGTAAGAAAAAATATTTTACAACTGACTGTTGCAACAGGTATAAACCATTTTAGTAATGTATCATCTTCTCTCCAAATACAACAAATGAGCTCTTTGAGGAGCAACTCTCCGGAGCGCTTGTGAGTGTTCTCAAGTCCTCTCCTTGTTCAGAGAGGAATTACGAAGAGCTGATCTACTCCCTGGCTCTCCATACTGCTGCAGTTATTGGGAATAGCAATAGCAATAGCACTCAGACTTATATACCGCTTCATAGTGCTTTACAGCCCTCTCTAAGCCCTCTCTACAGAATCAGCCTATTGCCCCCAACAATCTATGTCCTTGTTTTACCCATCTCGGAAGGATGGAAGGCTGAGTCAACCTTGAGCCTGGTGAGATTTGAACTGCTGAACTGCAGCTAGCAGTCAGCTGAAGTAGCCTGCAGTACTGCACTTGAACCACTGCGCCACCTTGGCTCTTGAATCATCTTCAGCTCACTATTTCTTCCCTGGAAGTCTGAGAAAGGTTTTTCAAAAGAAGGCAGATTTGCCTATCAATATACATTCAGGCAATCAGTTCTGTGTTGCTGGAATTCAGCTGGAAGCATGCAGAGATCCGTCTGCAGCTTTGATAGGCTGCAGTTCTGGCCCCATTTTTGTTTGAAGTGCATCCTTTCTTCCAGGCATGATAACATTATCGATCAGATTTGGCTCTATGCTTCTATGAACAAATGAGACCAGTTCCAAGTGAGTTCATATGTTGATGTTTATCAGTGATAGATATTTTTCAACACCTTCTCAGAAAAACAGCTCTCAAATTCATTCTGAAGTTAGCCACAGTAAAACTTTGCATGCTAAATACTGATCCTGGATGTAAAACAACATGAACAGTCTCTTGTCTGTAGGATTTTTTTTTCCCTGTATCCAAAATCAGCTGAGAAATTTGCAGAGAAATTCATTTGTATTCTAAAATTGGAAATGCCCTTGTACTGATTTGCATGTTTAGATGGTTTTAGATTAAAATAGATCGCAAAACCTCGAGGGAAAAATAATCTCTTTGTTCCTTTTCTTTGTGGCAGACTATGGTTTACAATCCTACAGAAAAGAGGATTCAGGGATGAATTCCAGTATTGCTCATCAAGTCTATTTGGCTCCTGAAGCTCACTCCATGCCAAACTTTGAACCAACCCCTGCTGCAGATGTTTATAGGTGAGGACAATAAATTCACTTATGGTTACCTTCCTGTATCTATAAATATGGATTGCTTTATTCTTTTTATTGAATGAACATACACAATTTTACATTTCTGTGGTGGCTACTTGTTTTGTAGATAGATAAGAAGTTCAAAAGGGATGCGGTGGCTCAGTGGCTAAGACGCTGAGCTTGTCGATTGAAAGGTTGGCTGTTCAGCGGTTTGAATCCCTAGTGCACTGTAACGGGGTGAGCTCCCGTTACTGTCCCAGCTTCTGCCAACCTAGCAGTTCGAAAGCATGTAAAAAATGCAAGTAGAATAATAGGGACCACCTTTGGTGGGAAGGTAACAGCGTTCCGTCTGCCTTTGGCGTTTAGTCATGCCAGTCACATGACCACAGAGATGTCTTCAGACAGCGTGGCTCTTCTGGCTTTGAAACGGAGATGAGCACCGCCCCCTAGAGTCAGGAACGACTAGCACATATGTGTGAGGGGAACCTTTACCTTTTAAGAAGTTCAAAATATCATCTTTAGGTTTTTTTCCCTTTTCAATGTATAATATACTGACTATGCCATATGTGATGTTTTAGGAAATTAAAGCCCCTTTCAGTTGCAATCAATGCATGAAATATGCAAAGGGAATGTGCTCATTTTGTTGCTGTGCTGCTATTTGTATTGCCTTCCACAAATATAGGATGACTTCTGCAGAGCTCTGGAAGTCAGACCGTCAATATTTTTAGAATGTTTTAGTGTGGAAGAATAATTGCAAAATTACCTTTACCATTTCATTTGCTGACCAATCAATAAGCCATTCTCAAACATTCTGAGCTCCATCTAAGCTCTTAGTCACCTCACACATTTGCTAAATGTTTGAAGATGCTGGTGCATTTCTTAAGACCCCGTTTTCTGCAAATAAGGCTCCACTATATCTAAGCCTTGCCTGATCCCATTTCATCACCGAGAAGATGAGTCAGCAGGGCAGCTGTGGAGGTATCTTTGCCAGAGGGAATAATCCTGATTACCATGAAGGAAATGATTGTGAAATTATTCCCTCTACGGAGCACAAGTTAGGCCAGTTGAATGCATCTCTTCTCTGTATCCACAAATCCTTTAAGCCTCAACTGCTTAACCAGGTATATTGTACGCAAATGTTTAGGCACCCTTGATCAAACTGTGTTTCAGTGAATCCCCAAAAGAAGCTGATACAGCCTCTATTTGCTGCAAGGTAAATCTGTTAGAAAATTTGGATGTACCAGTAATGTGTTTTTAACTGATTCAGTGAATATGGAATTTTTTAAAAAAAAAAATAGTAAGCATACATTCAGAATCTGGAATAGAGGGAATGAAGTGCTTATTGTAGTAGGCTACACTTTTAATACCATAGATCATTGGTCCTCAACTTCAGCAGCTTTAAGACCTCAGCAATTTTAACGCCTGTGCAACTTTTAAGACCTCAAAGCAGGGGTGAATTTCAGCAGGTTCTGACAGGTTCTGGAGAACCGGTAGCGGAAATTTTGAGTAGTTAGGAGAACCGGCAAATACCACCTCTGGCTGGCCCCAGAGTGGGGTGGGAATGAAGATTTTGCAATATCCTTCCCCCAGGAGTGGAGTGGGAATGGGGATTTTGCACTATCCTTCCCCTGGAGTGGGGTGAGAATGGAGATTTTGCAGTATCCTTCACCTGCCACGCCCACCAAGCCACACCACGCCCACCAAGCCACGCCCACAGAACTGGTAGTAAAAAAAAATGAATTTCACCACTGCCTTAAAGCCGTTGAGATAGAGAAACACCGGTACAGATGAGGATACACTTTTAGTTTTTGAATACCTGCAACACTGAGTGGAACACATAACATTTTCAAATATCAAGAGTGCAATACTATGGTCTAGGGATACTTTTTCCCAGCTACATGACATCAATAATTCTTATAATGGCAGATGCTATGAGCAGTTTACTTTAGAGAAGATAACTTATGATATGCTTAAACACAAGAAAACGTATTTGTGTTTCTGGATGATGTTCCTTCTGTACTCTATAGCTTTATTTATGTTGCAATATTTTCAGGATCAGACTCAATAAGTTATGAGAGAATTAAGAGTTCAAATATATTTTCTTTTATTTACATAAGGCATTCTATATTCACTGAATATTCACAGATAGAAGCAAAGAAGAGAGTGTGTGTAGCTCCTTATATATACAATGGGTGGAGCTAGATATGGGAGTGGTGAAGTATGAATACATTAAGAAATGAAGAATAAATTAACCCCTGACATCCCGTTCATATACTATTTACACATCAGAGAATAAGGCATTTACTTGTGACAAATCCCCCTCTAAATGCCAATTCGATATGCTACATTTATTACATTCAGATTCAGAACAATATAATACATATAATTTGGAAGTCAAATATTTATGTTGCTTAGATGGCAAAGGCTTTGTCAATATGTCAGCTAACTGTTCCGATGTCTCACAATGCACTGCCTTAATAAATCCATCTTGAGATAATTGTCTCACATGTTTAAATTTTATGTCTATATGTCTAGATCTCTGTCCAATGGCGTCGGATCTAGATATTTCAATGGCTGCTTTATTGTCTTCGTGCATGACAAAAGGTAGTGCAGGTTTTTTCCAAACATCAGAAATCAGATCATTAAACCATACAAGGTTATTTGCTGCTTTAGATAAACAAACATATTCCGCTTCTGTTGTTGAAGTGGCCACTAAATCTTGTTTGCCAGTGTACCAGTAAACTGGACAATCGTTTAGGAGAAATAAGTAACCAGATGTACTTTTTCTGCATGAAGTGTCTCCAGCCCAATCTGCATCTGCGTAACATGTGAGTTTCGGTTCCTTGACATTATTAGGTTCTAACATTAAGCAAAAGTCTAATGTGTTTTTTAAATATCTTAATATTCTTTTAACAGCTTCCAGTGATACATAGTTGGTTTGCTGACATGTCTGGACAATAAATTAAGGGGTAAAGCGATGTCTGGTCTTGTCCAATTAGAAATGTAAAGAAGTGAACCTATGATTGATCTATAGAACGTGTTATCTTTGAATTCAGGGGATGATTCATCAGCATTTCTTAGGAAATCAGTTTGCATTGGAGTGTCACAGGGCTTAGCATCATTTAGGTTACATTTGTTCAAAAGTTCTGTGATCTTATCTTTCTGAGAAAGCTTGAATCCCCTTTTAGTCTTACTAATTTGAACACCAAGATACTTATTTACTTTACCTAAGGATTTCAATGAGAAATGTTCATTTAACTTTGTTACAAATGTTTCTCTTCTTTCTTTGCGATTACCTATATATAAAATGTCGTCCACATAGATCAATACAAATTCTATGTAATCATTACCCTTTTTAACAAAGAAACAATTATCAGCAGTGGTAGCATTGAATTCCATAGTTCTTAGTACTTTTACTAAACAATCATACCATCGTTTACCAGATTGTTTTAGCCCATATAGACTTTTGTTTAATAACCAAATCTCATTCTTATTTGTATATTGACTGTGAGGTGCCCTTACATATATTTCCTTATCTAATTTTGCGTGTAAATACGCAGTCTGTATGTCATACTGGAATACATCGAGATTGAGTGCTGATGCTACAACTAGAGCCGTTTTTACACTTTCAGTTCTTACTGTGGGGGAGTAAGTGTCAGTATAGTCCTCTGGATATTTCTGTGCATAACCTTGTGCAACTAATCTAGCCTTGTATAGAGTATTGCCTCCCTCTAAATTTTTAATTTTATATATCCACCTAGTGCCAATAATTGTTTTGTCCTTTGGTGCAATCGTAGGTGTAAATACATTTAATCCTTGTAAGCTTTCCATCTCTTTTGTCATAGCTAATTCCCACTTTTCTTTTTCTTTAGGAGGAAGTTTTAACACTTCCTCATATGTGCTAGGTGTCATAGTTTCTCCATCCATATGCATTATATAATCTTTATATTTATTTGGTATTTGGTTTCTAGTGTTTCTAATTGGCTTCTCGGGTTTACTATTATTGTCATGCAAATATCTTGCTTCCTTTTTTGTTAATGTATCTGTCTTTATTTTGTGTTGACTATTTGTCCATGTTTTGGTTTTGTTTTTATATTTGTAGTCTTTTTGCTTTTCTACAGTTCTTTTCTCTTGGGATTTAGTATCTGTGTTGTTGTTTGGGAATATTTCATTAAGATGTATTCTAGACCAGTTGGCCTGTTCATGAAACACAGCTGTTCTGGAAACTATAAATTTGTTATTATTATCAATGAATCTGTATCCTTTTGTACCTGTCTCATATCCCATAAATCTAAGTCTTCTAGACACATTTTCTCCCTTTCTTCTTAATTGTTTAGGTATGTGTACGTCTGCGGTGACTCCAAAAATGTGCATGTGTGCTAGTTTTGGTTTTCTATTATACATCACTTCATATGGTGTCTTATTCACAATGCTGGACCAAGTTCTATTTTGTGTGTAATTGGAATATTGTAGGGCTTCTGACCAGAATTGTTTGCTTAAGCCAGCATCTTCCAATGTGCATCTAATCATGGTTTGTAATGTTGAGTTCTTCCTCTCTACAATTCCGTTCTGGAACGCGGAAAATGGGCTAGATGTGTAATGTAACATTCCTCTGTCCTTCAACCATTGGGAGAATTCCTTAGACATGAATTCACATCCCCTATCTGTCATTATTTGTTTTATTTTGATATTGTGTTGTGTTTCTACGCGTTTGTAAAACTCTTTAAATTTTTGAAAGGTTTCATCTTTGTGTTTTAATGTGTAAACAAATCCATAGCGACTATAGTCATCCACAATAGTTAAGAAGTAACGTTTTTTATAAATGATTGATGGAGTCAGTGGACCAACCAGGTCCATGTGTACTAAATCAAAAATCTTGTTAGTTGACCTTGTAGATTTTCTAGGCCTGGGACTAGTTTTTAGTTTTGTAGATTTACATACTGAGCATTCCAAATAGTTTTCACAATTTTTTATTTTGACACCTTCTGCGTGTTCAGTCATTTTCT